TGCATCTCCTCGCCGCCGTCCTGCCCTCTTCGAGAACTTCACCCGAACTCAGGCCTGCACGCCCCGACCACGCCTGGGCACATCTGTCCTCCGAGCGCGAGGACCGACCGCCGGGCCTCTCCTGCCCGCCAGTGCTCCCAGCCCCTCTGCGCGCCGGGCTCTGCCTCTAGACCGGCAGTGGGGCGGGGCCGCGCCGGGGGCGGGGCGATCCAGAAGTCTCCGCCCCGCGGGGCCGCACCAGGTGAGACAGGCGGGCGGGCCAGCAGCCGAGGACTGGCTGGCAACAGAGTCCCAGGACTCAGGGCCCCGCCTATCAGCAGCAGGGGCGCAGTCTCCAATCCGAGTGAACCAAGTGCTGCCCTAGGCAGTTTATGACTCACCGAGGCCTGTGTGTGATGGAAAAAATCACCGAAATCCTGTTTCCTACACCCAGTGAGTCTGGACTTTTAGCCGGGCATCTGAGGCCCTCCACCCGCCTCCCTACCCGGGCCTCCCCAGCTCCAGTGTGGGCCTGTCCCTGAATCTCGGCGCACCAGGTGGCCCGCAGAGCCCCCAGCACTACCCCTTCTGGCATCTGTAAAGCGTGAACCCAGCCCCTAACAGGCCCGCTGAGCTCAGAGCCCCTCCTGGGCACCCAACACCGCCTGCTCCACTCGCCCCACTTCTCCGTAGGGTGTTCATTTGGGTGGCGTTCCCTGCTTCATCACACTGCCTGCTTCCCAGAGCCAGCTGGCCCTCCTCCTTGCAGGCGTCAGGTGAGAGCAAGTGACCTGTGACCTCGGGAGTGTAGCGAAGCCCAGGAATTCTGTCTAACCCTAGCGAGTGGTCAGAGCAAGTGGAGCTCTGAATCTCCAAGTCCGGGCGTGTATTAGTCAGTTGCCCGTCACTGGGGCAAAATACACAACTCCACCAAGAACACACCTTTCAAGTCACACCCCCAACCTGCCCCCACCAGAACAGGATATTCGCCATGAACTTATAAATGGATCAGTCCGACTGATGAGTGCAGTGTCCTTACAATCCAATCCCCTTGCAAATCCCCATTGCTGAACGCGAGACTTTTAGGCAGCAGTTTAGATCTAAAACATAACAGGACAGTAAATCATCCTGTGGGTGGCGTACATTGTAGGCAGTTCATATGAGAGGGCACATCAATTACCGCGATGTGCTTTGGAGCCAGTAGGTGTACTGCATGGCTTGGAATGCTTTTATACTTTTTCAGTAGTTTTACTGAAAGCCTGGACCTCATAGAAAGCAGTCAAATGGTAACTGTGTCCTCTTTCTCTCTGCCTCTCAACGCTCGCTCGCTCTCACTCACGCTCTGATTCTATCCATCTCTTCTGGATGAAACTGTTTGCTATAATGAGGAATTTCAGCAACCGTGTGGTCCTGGCAGTCAGAACACCTGCATTTTCCTCAGCTGTTCTTGGCCTTCCAGGACTCAGCCAAAACAGAGTTTGAAATCTTCCCAGTCTAACATCCTGTGATGCTGGCACTTCCCAGGATAGCCTGAGAAATCAAGGTAGGAATTGCTGGTCACTTGAGTTCCTTTTTGGAGTGTGCCAATCCTATGAAAGCCTCTGAAAATTCCATAAGATAACAGCTTTAGAGAAACATTATTCACTCTAGAGTTTCTTCAGGACACCTCTGTCCATTGCCCAAGGTCAGCAAGAGCTAAAGAAACAGGAATGTGTGATAGAGCTTTAGGGAAGGCTCCTGGGACTTGCGGCAGAATCTGGCAGCTGTCAAGGGGGATGGACCAGGAAGTTAATTGTCAGAACTCTGCTCCTCATCCACACAGAACACAGACCCTTCCCCCTGCATTCAGGTCTACAGAGCTTCTCGCACATTGAGAGACTGCCTCGAACCTGTTTCAACTGCAGACTCCTTGGAGAGAAGATCCAGGTGTATCTACCATTCCTGTAGCTCTCCAGGCTCACCAGCCCCACCTCGTGCTCCACCTGGGTTAGAGTGTTTGGGGAGGGTTACAGAAGGTGGTGTGTTTGAGGGAGGGTCACCAGCACAAGGAGGCTTGTGAAGCGGATGGATACCCACAGGCAGATGTCCAGCCCGAGGCCTGTCAACATCCTGCAAAACTTGCCCTCAGCATTGCCTTTTTTGTTCCTGGAATCTGTCAAGCTCACCCATGCCTCCAGGCTTTTGTACTTGTTTTTACTTCTACCTGGAATGTTCTTCTTCTAAATCTGCCCTGCCCCCAGTAATTAGGGTGGTGGGATTATGATTTGATATTTTTCCTCTTCTAAACCTTATATGTAAAGTTATTAAATTACCTTCAGAAATTAAATACGTGAGAACATTGCATCTAAAACTTCACACCCCAGCTATCAAATCTGTACTTAGAACACGGGAGCCATCACTTCTCTTCACCTGATATTGCAGTTTACATCTAAAATGTCCCTTGAAAGTCTCATGTTTGGAGGTGGGCTCTGGGGAGAAAGGGTATGTCACTGGAGGCATGCCGTGGAGAAATGAATTCTTGTCCCTGGCTCCTTCTGTCTCTGTCTCTGTCTTTCTGTCTGTCATCTCTCTCTGTCTCTTTGTCTCTCTCTTCTTCCTGGTTGCCATGTGGTGAATATTTTTCCTGTACCATGCCATTTCTGCCTTGGAGCCAGCTGCTCATGGACTGATTCCAGTGAAACTGAAAGCCAAAATAAACTTCTCCTGTAAGTTGTGGGTATCAGGTATTTTGTCTCAGTGATGGGAAAGTGACTAATACATAAAACTGATACCAGAAGTTGGACTGTTGCTGTGACTGTACCTCTTCATGTGATTCAGGAATCTTCGAAACTGGTTTGCAGGAAAAATTTGGAGCCCTAGAATGTTGTAAGCAGTGCCGAATATATGCCACTGATCAGAGCTCTAAACACTGAAATGCTGATAGGAATGTGGCAATGAAAGGCCAGGCTCAGGAGGGTTCAGCTGGAAACAAGGACTCCATTGGCCATTGGACTAGAGGCCATGTGTGCTATACTTTGGCAGAAAATTTGTCCCTGATTTATGAACAAGTTCCATTTTGGGAGAATTTTTCATAATTCAGAGTTATTCACAAACTGAGTGAACCTCACCCTTTGGAGAGAGTGTGGCTCTGTCTACATCTTGATTTCAGGCTTTTGGCCTCCAGAACTGTAAGGTGAACGTGTTCCTATTTTTTAGGCCTCCCAGTGTGTGGCAGTTTGTATAGCCCCTCTTAGAGACAAATACAGCCACCTCCTGTGTGCCAGGTGCTGTCCACGCCACAGGAGATGCAGGGTAAACGGGAGCAACAGAATCCCTGCTCTGACATTCTAGTGGAGAAGACAAGACACCCAACATTTAAAAAAGCAAGAAAAGTATAGGGAAGGAAAAGCACTGTGAAGACAGCGCCGCAGCAGTGTGAAACAGTGTGATCGGAGCAAGCAGAGGGCTGTTTTAGCCAGGGTGGTCTGGACAGGTCTGTCAGCGGAGTTGGGAATCAAATAAAAAAGATGAGAAGTATACATACAATTTCATCCTATTAAAGAAACCTGGTATCCTAAAATTGTCTTTCTTTTGGAACAGAAACATAAACATCCTCCCCTATGTAGCTGGCATTAGTTTTACTTTTGCATTTCCGTGTGAGGCTACATAGTCATTTCTGTGTATCAGTCCTCACCGCGGGACTAGCATTTCCCGGAGGGAGGCGCCTCCTCGGCGTCAGTGCCCAGGTCTGGGCTGGACAGAGCAGGAAGGCAGGGGTGAGCACAGCCCGTACTGCATCCGCCTAGGTTTGAATCCACTCTCCAGCACTTGCTGACTCTGGGACCCTAGGACCATGGGAAAGCTCCTTAATTCCTCTGCGGCTTTACTTCCTTCTCTGTAAAATGCAGACCATAATAACACTTAAATCATAGGGCGGCTGAGGATCGGGCGAGAAGCAATGCGTGTAAAGCTGTCGATCCAGCTGGGGAAGTTGTGCGGCAAGAATTTAATTTCGTCCGGATTGTTTGACTTTTTAACCACAAGCATGTATTTGTGTACAATTGTTTTTTATAATTCCTTACTGAGCTAAAGTGGGCACAGTGTAATATTTACAAGCATAGCCATTTCTAAGTGCTCAGCTCGCTGGCGTTCAGTACACTCACACTGTGGTGCAGCCAGCACCATCATCCGTCTCCAGAGCCCTCTGTTTCACAAAACTGAGACTTTACACCCATGAAACAGTAAATCCTGTTCCTCGCAGCTGCCCAATTCCTGGCAGCCACCATTCTTTCTGTCTCGGTGATTCTGACTGTTGGGAAGTATATCTCATATATGTGGAGCCACAGTTGTGTCTTTTTGTGATTGACTCATTTCCCTTAGCGTAATATCCTCAAGGCTCATCCATGTTGTAGGATATGGCAGAATGTCCGTTGTTGTCATCACCTCCGCATCGCTGGGACAAAACACACCTGCAGTCTAAAGGAGGAAAGGTTTATGGGGCTCCTGGGTACAGGCGTGGTCAGCCGGCTCCAAGGCAGTATGGCATAGCAGCACGGGCCTGGTGTAAAAGAAATCTGCTCACATCATGGCAGCAAGGAAGCAGAGGAGAAAGGGAGGAGCCAGAGAGGGAAATACGCCCTTCCAGGTCACGCCCTGATTGACCTGCCTCCCCCAAACAGGCCACACCTCCTAACACCAAGTCCAGTCCTCTTCCAAAAGCCCTGCCTATGCATGCATGAGGCCTTTGGGGAAATTCTCAATGTAAACCGCATCTTTTTGCTGTTTTAAGATAGGGGTCTCGCTATATTGACCTCAGAACTCTTCATTTTGCATCAGGCTGGCCTAGAACACCTAGGCTCAGGTGATCCTCCTGCCTCAGCCTCCCATGCAGCTGGAATTACAGGCACATGCCACCACACTTAGCTTGTCCCCCATCCCTTTTTTTAAGGCTAATAGTTTTGGTTAACTAATTAGAGTTTTGGTTTTCAGCCTAGTTGGATCACTGATGTAATTTTTCTGTAACATCTTCCACTCTGCTCCTTTGGTGCCTAAAAAAACTATTGAGCTTCCTCTTCCTGTGGTTAGGAGAAAACACTCACTTTTGACCTCAGATAGAAGTCCTAGGTATCAGCAGAGAATCTCCATGTAGTCTCCTCACATGCTGGCATCAGACATAGGTTAT